TCTATATGCATCCGGCGGGGGTGGGCCCACCCGGGACCCACACGCAAACATTGCCCCGCCGTCCACATCACCCCCAACCCTCCCCCCCCCCCCCTACACACACCTCGATCCCGCTTTTCTCCCCCCCCCCCTCCCGCGTTCTTCGCTCCGCTGATCTGCTCGCCATGCCACCCAAGCGTGAGAACTCCAAGGCCGTTGCCGCGCGCGTACGACTGCTCTCCTCGCTCCTGCTGCTCTTGCCGTCGGTAGTCTCTCTCTCTCTCTGTCTCTCTCTCTAACACATGCACATGTGTCCACCGTCTGTAGGAGCGCAAGGCCGCCCAGGCCGCCGAGAAGGTGGCTGCTGACGCCCGCGTTCGCGAGGCGCAGGAGGCCGCCGAATGGAAGGTCGGCTCCAAGGACAATTCCAAGGCCCTCGAGAAGGACGCCAAGCGCGTGCGCCCGATCCCTCGCCACTTGCCCTGCCGGCTCTGCCCTCTTTTGCGTGGTCCTCTCGCCTTCTCGGCCACCCGACATCCTGCCACTGACCCCCTCTGACCTCCCCTTTGTGTGCCCACACACACACACACATGACGTACGCACACGCACGACGTACATACACACAAACACACAAACACGGCATACACACATACACGGCATACACACATACACGGCATACACACATACACGGCATACACGCTACACAGCGGGCGCAGCTCGACCGTCGCCGCGAGCGCGAGGCCCTCGAGGAAAAGGAGGCCAATGAAGTGGTCAAGCTGAAGCCGATCAAGAACCGCGAGCCGCGCCTGTCGCGCTCCAGCCCCCCGCCGGCGGTGGTCCCGGTCAATCCCTCGAAGGCCATCCTCACCGGGTCCGAGTCGTCGGCTTCGCTGGCCGCCGGGTCCGGCTCGGCCGCCGGGGTGGACGAGTTGCCGGACACCTTCGCCGCCAGTGGCATCGACGGGGCCCTGGAGCTGCTGACCCTGGTGGATGAGACCCGGCCCGCCGGCGGGGCGAACCATGTCCTCACGCTGGACCGGCACCCGGAGCGTCGCGTGGCCGCCGCTTACCGGGCCTTCGAGGAGCGCGAGCTGCCGGCCCTGCGCAAGGAGTTCCCCTCACTGCGGCGCACGCAGCTGCTCCAGCGCTGCCGCGAGATGTTCGACAAGTCTCCGGAAAACCCCATGAACCAGGCCTCCCTGGCGTACAATGCCACCCCGGAGGAGGCGCGCCAGGCCACCGAGGCCCTGCGTGCCAGCAAGCTGGAGGGCTACCGCCACTGACCGGGGCGGGGTGTGCTGCTTTGGGCTGCCCTCTTTGCCGTTCCACCTCCCCCCAGCCCTTCCCTCTCCCTGCTCGTCTTCCGGGACTGTGTGCCCTTCTCCCCGGAGGTGGGCTGCCTGCTTGCCCTTTTCCCTCCTCCGCTGGTGTCCTCCTCCGAGGGAGGATGGGGCGCATTATGTGTCCCATGCGCCGGGTCCCGCGCCCACCGGTGCGGTGAGAGGGGGGATATGAGACCCGGGAGGGATTGATCCAAAATGCACGTGTCTTGTTTGTCCTCTCAGCATCTTCTCCCCGGGCGTGTGGGTGCATGAGCAATGGGCGTTGGTGCTGTGTGCCAGGGGCATTTCCGGCAGTCGGCACGGCGTGCTTCTATATTTATTTATTGGGCGGGCCAACAGAGGGGGGGGGGGGGGGGG